TGTGACCTCCCCAGTGCCCAGTTCAGGGGGATGAGCACTGCCCCAGTCCTGCTGGTTACACTGTTCTTGATCCAGGCCAAGATGCCCTTGGCCTCCTTGGCCACCTGTGCACACTGTGGGCTCACACTGAGCCGCTGCCACCAGCACTGCCAAGTCCCTTTGGGACCAACACCTCGGTCCCCACTCCTCCCCCAGCCTGGAACTGCATGAGGCTGTTGTGTCTCAAGGGCAGGACCAGCACTGAACCTTAGTGACCCTCATGCAGTTGTCCTCAGCCCATTGATCAAGTCTTTCCAGCTCCCTCTGTAGAGCTTTCCTACCCTCAGGCAGATCCATACTCCCACCCAACTTAGTGTCATCTGCAAATTTACTGAGTGTACAATATAGATTGTCTCAAATTCTGCTCTGGCACTACTATTATTTTCAAGAATTAATTATTTTCAATAAGAATCCATCACTTTTAATTTGTCAGTACTGTAAGAAGATGAATATTATATCAAAACTAAGATATATTTAATATAAAATATATCATCATACATGTGATTAAAATAGGGGACCTAATCCAAATGTTTCTACTTAGGTCACACCTCTGACTTCCCTGAAGTTTGCAGAACTCTCAGCTAAAGCTGGATTTCCTAAGGGAGTTATCAATATTCTGCCTGGTTCAGGTAAATCTTCAACTCATCATTTTTCCAGGAGGAGAAGGTCATGCTAAAACTGGTGAACTAGGATCTTACCTATTACATAGGCACATGTATCACCATATGTAGTAGACTTGTATCTATGTCATACAGCGATTTCACACAATTTCAGAAGGGAACTGGAAGAATTTGTATGTCCCCTGGCTCTAGTTATTGGTAGGAGCCTGTGCCCTCGGCAAGTTCACACAAGAAGCATGAGCAGTCTGAAAAAGAACATGTTACAGGGAAACATGTTTCTCTTGATTGTAAAAATTTTTCTCCTAATCTGATCATCACTTGGGAGTATTTAAATGTGACTGTGAGACTCAGAGCAAGCTGGGAAAATGCATATTGGTCACTATAGGTAAGTCATAGTCCACACTGTGTTACCTGATGTCACTATTTTCCTTTTTCCTCTAAGGAAGAAAAGCGACAAAGCAACTGTATGGGGCAGGTACAGTTACAAATTAGACAATTCCACCTACAGTGGAATATTGGAAAATTCTTTAGTCCAAACAGAGGGGGGAATTTGGAGGCACTAATGGGATCCAAGGAAACTAATATGAAATCTTTCATAGTCATAGAATCATAGAACTTCAGGGGTTAGAATGGACTTTACAGATCACCTAGTCCCACCCCCCTGCCATGGGCAAGGACACCTCCCACCAGAGCAGATTTCATCCAACCTGGCTTTGAACACTGCCAGGCTTGGGGCAGCCCTCCCTGGGAAAACTTCTGCCTGATATCTAACCCAAA